TAGTAAATCAGGGTTAGGATAATTAGAAGTGTGAAAACTAGACACGGAGACACATGCATGAGAACAGTCTGGAGCTAACCACGAAATCCCCAATCGTGGGAGCCTTGTCCATTCCATGTGATCGAGTGAGTAGTCTAACACGCGATTGAAATTGTTCAAAAAATGACCAGATATGAGGCATGTAATTAAATTAACATTCCGTGGCTCGATCGTTGATAAAATTCCGCGGGATGATGTGAATCGAACTATCCGGATGTGGTCCAGATGTAGTCGAGATCATGGAGTTATTCAAGGCACCAAGGACACCAAGGAACTCATAATGATCTCTTTTGCGAAGAGTTTTAGTTGGCAAATGTCCCGCTATTCGAAACAGATATAGTCCTATCGCCGAAAGGGAATGTACACATTGGAATTCTAACGACAGTCCTGAAGGAATTCCTTCTACGCGGCACTTCAAAGTCCCATTTAATGAAGAAATCGAAGACAAAATGTGACCATGGAAAATACGTACCCTCGATCACTTTTCTAGTCACATCGGATTCGTTGCAAAACTGGATTGATTGAGATGAAGATGAATGTCAGATTTTCTCTGATTCGTGTAGAGATGTACAAATGTTGAAAGTTAGGATTGAATAGTGATTCATTCAAGCTCTGTTTCAGATAATCAACTGCGGATGCAGAAATAACACGAGGGGGGGGGCAGTGAATTCCAACTAATACACACTCTGACGGTACAAGAATGACTCCAGCATTCTAGTCGAAAATTTTAAGGCACTAACTTGAATGGATGCCCCCTGGAGGTGAACGTTAGGGGACAATGTGAACACTGAACGACACGGATAGTCAGAGTTCTCTATAATTGGTTACACTAAAACCAAGTATCCTCGAAGTGGATTAAGACGCCACGGATCTTTTCCCGGTCTTTTCCCATTGGTCTTGGGATGCAGTCCCGGGAGCATCTTGGTGGCCATTCTTTGCGGAAGTTCCAAAATCTTACGAGCATCATGGATTTTACACTTGAATGGCGTACTCTATGTGGGATCGAATGTGGACTGATAACAAANCGTGGGAAAAGCGGAGGTTTAAATTGGCCAAAAAATCCTTTAAGGAAACCAAAATTTATTGCACCTGCGGACGACGCCCTGGAGCAGTTTAAAGAATAAGTGCTTAAATAGTTTGAACTATGATACCGAGATTCTTCTCATTTGTGATCCAGATAACTTGTTGATGTCCCAGGACTTACGGAAACCGAGGTTTGCGATTAATGGATAGTACTGTTCATTTTCATGCATTAAATTCGATGTTATTATGGATCGGCCATTGGTAAGCAGTACTAAGTGTTTTCTGAAGTGCCAGTGAACCCTCAGGTTTTGTCACGGTATGGGAATACTGTTTGCATCGTTTGGAGCGGTTTGGATGGCTTTGTGACCCAGGAATGTCCGTTAGATCGTTTATAAAAACTAAAAAAGGACCAGAG